AGCTTGATTATTTCAGATGATGTGTACATCTCAATTTAAAAAAATGTACCCTTATGACTGCTTTTGTGGTCCAGGGTCACATATGAGTGATAAAAACACAGAATATACACAAAATATACACAGATGTGACAAAAAATAATAATAATAAAATTTGGAAGAAATGTTATCAGACCTTTGTATTATAAATCGAATATTAACATTTTACTGAAACCCATACTTAGTAAATCCAGAGAAATTTGGTCTCTATAGCTGCATGTATTAAAAAAAATTCTGCCTAATATTTAATATGTCAGGCTTTACAGGGTTAAAAATTTCATTGCATTTAGATAATAAAATATCAGATCAAACTGTCTCAAAATAATAAGTTGAATATATTTCAACGGTTTCTGAAACAGTCCATGAGGTCCAAAACAACATTTTTATTAATATATCTTCTTTTGTGCTCCACAGAAAGTCACAGAAGTTTGGAGCGACATGAGCGTAAGTGATGACAAAATGTTCATTTTTTTGGAGAACTATTCCTGTCACACTTTTTGGGGACACTTTATGTAAATCTACAGAAATGCTCCTAGATTGACAGCTGACAGCAGCCGAGGGCTCCATATGGTCCTCTGCACTTCTTGAAGATTTCGAGAGAGGCTTTATTTTTAGGAGGCACTGAAATGATGCTGCACGCTCAACTTTCTTTGTTTGAAAAGGTCATTGGTGTGTTATGGAGAGCGGCGTCTGAGCTAATTAAAAAGTCAGGCTAATTCTGTATGCCGAGCAGCGTGGAGCTTCACTGCGGCTGCTTCACAGACCGCTGTGCAAAGCAGGACGGATGGATGAGAGGCGAACCCCACCTGGCAGCTGCCCATCCATCCATTCATTCACTGCTTGTCCCGCCGCACACAGGGGAACAAAACCAAGCTAGTTTTATGGACTCTAGTTAAAAACTCTAGTTTTATGGACAAACCATGCTTCACAGACCGCTGTGCAAAGCAGGACGGATGGATGAGAGGCGAACCCCACCTGGCAGCTGCCCATCCATCCATTCATTCACTGCTTGTCCCGCCGCACACTGGGGAACAAAACCATCTAGTTTTATGGACAAACCGAGCTTTACGTCACGTCGTACGGCTCGGAAGCCACAGAAGTCGCCGCTAAACACCACAACTCGTGGTGACTTCTGGCAAACTTCAAACAAGAAATGATCTCTCTCACGCGTGGCTTTGTCATTGCGGTGGCAGGTAAAAAGAGTTGTGAGGGGAAAACAAGTTTAAGTCTGACAGGAAACAAGTAAAGCCTGTCACCTAAACAGACAACAAGAAAAGAAGGACGAGGACGTCCAAAACGCATGTGTTTTCTCTCTGGAAATAAAGGTGCAGTCATTAAGTGTCCATGTTCCCTTGTGAAAAAAGAAGTACACTTAAGGATGCTTTTAAAATGAGTCCTTATTACGGGGATAATATAGTGGAAAAACAATACACTGAATGTAACCTTTTTGGACATTAATTGCAATTAAATGAAAATGCATTGTATCTTAAGTTTAAAATAAATGCAATTAGCTTAACTTTAGAGTGATTTTTGACACTTAAGTAGAACTGAAGTGCATTTTTATGTCATTTCATAATTCTATTGCTTGTGAAATAATCAATCATTTATGAACTAAAATGGACTTTAGTGTAATTTCTAGTGAAACTTATAAGTTATGTATAAAAAAGAAGTACACTTAAGGATGCTTTTAAAATGAGTCCTTATTATGGGGATAATATAGTGAAAAACAATACACTGAATGTAACCTTTTTGGACATTAACTGCAATTAAATGAAAATGCATTGTATCTTAAGTTTAAAATAAATGCAATTAGCTTAACTTTAGAGTGATTTTTGACACTTAAGTAGAACTTAAGTGAATTTTTATGTCATTTCATAATTCTATTGCTTGTGAAATATCAATCATTTATGAACTAAAATGGACTTTAGTGTAATTTCTAGTGAAACTTAGATTTATTTGTTAAATAACATTTGTTATGACGAAGTTGTGATTTAGTATGTTTAAAATATGTTAACTTTAAAATAACACAATACAGTTAAAATTATATTTAAGTACTTTACATTTGCTTTAGTATGTTAGCCAACACTTAAAACTAAGAGTACTTCTATAAAGCACAACAAAAGATGAATTAGATATTATTACAAAGTGCACTTTTTAAAAGTGTACTTAAGTGTGTTAAGAAACATACCCCCGGTTTCACAGACTAAAATATAAGTCTGAGCTGTTTCAGCGGAAAGAATCTTAAAATATATCAGCGCCTTTGTTTTGCCTCAAGATGCACACCTGTGATGATTTTTTCTAAGGCATGTTTATAAAAAATTACTTAAATCTCCTAATTGAACTATGGTCTAATCCTGGCCCTGTCTGTGAAACCAGGCCATAGTCATGAAAGTGTCTCTCTTTAAGTCACTTATCATTAATATTGCGTTATCTGCACCTACAGTTTTTAAAAAATAAACTTTCAAGAATTTAAGTACAGAATAAGTGCACATTCAATACAATTGAGCACATTTTTTGTCATGTTGGCCAATATGCCTTATACTGACACCTACTGGCATGGAGGACGCTTCATACAAAATCATTAACAATCAATGCACTATTAAACAATGATTTATTTATTTTGTGACCAATGTCCAAATGGATATCAACATAAAGCAAGTATAATTCAGGTGGTCATGTGATCTCAACACATCTGCCCCATGAGGCCACTCACTCCATGTAAAATACATTTTTTTTAAATTATATTTTAAGTCTTCATCTCATACGAGTGCACATCAATTTAAACATATTTACCCAAAGTACTATTCATTCAAACATGCACCTTTAACTGATTTCTCCTGTTGATTTCTGCGAGGCCATTCGATCACGTTCATAGACTGAGCTGTGATCCTCTCTCTCATCCACAAAGTTCCCTAATAATACCACATTCCCCAAATGTGTTAGTAATGTGGGCAATCAGTTTCAGTAATGGATGCTTGTCAGTTTTATGGTGGTCTTGTGACATGTGAGCATCTGATCTGTGCTTCAGTCGAAGTGCTTTACTACCCTCATGTGGATGGAGACTGTAAGCCCTTCTCTTGAAGCTGGAACCTGAGTGACTATTTTAGAAAAGTAGGCCTGTGTGGACACTTGTTAAATGGCCCATATTAGCAATTAAGTACGGACTTTGAAACTAAACTAAAATCTGTACATTAGTGGTGCTTTGCCAAGTCAAGCATCGCTATTACGAATGCTTGTACTTAGGGTTAGTGATTTGAAACAACCCCTAACTGGAAGATTAAAGTGTGCTATTACTTTTCTAAGTGATCAGACATAAAGATTCGGCCTGGTAGGCAGTAAAATGGAAGAAATAGGGGCAGATATCATAGAGAGATTTAAATAAAAGTCTTTGGCAATAACCCTGAATTAAAGGAATGATTCACCCCAAAATAAATATTTTGCTTAAAATGTAGTCATCCTCAGACCATCCAAGATTAGGATGAGTTTGTTTCTTCATCAGAT